CTTTTTAGTGCTGTGTGGATTGTAGACAACAATCCCCATAGTGCATTGCAATGTTCAGCTCCGCAGGCTACTCCCACTACTCACCCCATCAATGTAGACTAGAGTTGAGCTCTACTCTACGTCCATAATTATCAAAAAGTTTCTGCCGGTGAAATCAAACGCACTGGCACTGATCTGTGATTGGTCTGTTAGCAAAATAGGTCCAACCCCCTGTGGGCGGGTTTGAAAGGGTGGGATCTAATGCTTGTAGTCTTTACAGAAATCCCCCTCTTTTACACTTCCTCCTACAATGACGGAAAATTACGATTTTTGTCATTGTAGGAGAAAGTGAAAAAAGAAAATAGTGGATTTCTCTCGTCTGGTTGCACAATCATCAGTAGTATGACTGGATTTCTAACAATGGAAATCTTAATGCAAAATGGATGGAGTGTCCCTTTAAGAATCTTTTTTGCCAATGCAGGGTTTAGCTTGTTCAGTATTGTGTGAGTGTGTGTAAATACAAAACATTTAAAATAATAACGTTATATATATTATATTTCTAGTAACCAATAGTTGACTCAAGCTTTATCCATCATTAGTGCTAAGAAAAATCGTAATGATAGCAGCTTCTAAAGTGGATAATGATATTAGGCCTAAAAATAAATACAATACCTAAACTCAAGTTAATTAAACAGGATCAGTCTTCTGAATGGAGATTTCCTCATATTTCCCAGCTGAGGAAGGATCGTTCAAATTGGGGTGAACCAGGAAGAACCAAAGAGCGCTGAAATGACAAAATTGTTGTAATTAGTGCAATTAAGAGTTCTGGATTTAAAATGGCAGGCAAATAAGCATTTCAATGATTGCTGGCTTCTTCATGCTCACAATTACACACGGAGGACTACCCTAATAACAAAACCATCTCATTATTCCTTTTGACTTTCATTCAGTCCAGCTTTATGGTCTTCTCTAAGCAACATGGCAGTACTTCAACTTAGGTGTTTATCAGAGAAAGAATATTTGATTTGTTAAATAGGCAAGGGCCTGTTTTTCACCCAGTGTTCACCTAAACCCAGTATATTACCACCGGTAGGCTATATTATGGCATATGGGTATAAATATCTACTGCATAAAAGGAGTTAATTTGCTTTAGTTTCATATTAGTTTGTACCATTCATACACACAAACTAGGGTTGTATCACCTTAATCTACCAAAATGGTCAAAAGATGCGTTGCTATTCAAATCATATAGGCTAAGCAATCAAATGTACATTCATGATTGTTTGTTTACTTGTTTATTGATTTGCATTTAATCGTATAACACATACTTACAAACTTTTCACCAACGTCACATTCTGGGCGGTAACCCGGATGAGCGGCCATTATGGAGGCACTCGGATGTAAACAACGCATGGACTGCACTGTTTATGTACTACTGAACACATTGTTACACTAAAGAAACACATAAAAAACCCGTGGTAGCCCTATTCAACTTTAGCTTCTTTTTTTATTTATTTTTAATCAGTGAGCAGGATCACTTTGACATGAGGATAAAACTTACGAAGAGTGGCAAGCCATAGGAGAGTCAACGACAGGAAAATAACCTTTTTTTTGTGAACAAAAATATTGTCTCTTTCTTTTAAATGGCCCTTGGAATTTTAGAAAAGGGGTAAATTGTGTTTGTCTTCATTAAATGGTATGTAGGACACTGTTCTGTAGCTGTATGATGACCAATTGTGGAAAATTTACTCACCCCCATGTCATCCAAGATATCCAAGTTATTCTTTCTTCAGTCGAAAAGAAATGAAGGTTTTTTGATGCATTTTTCTACATATAATGCCCTTCACTGGGAACCAAACGGTTCAAGGTCCTAAAGACAGTTTCAGTGCAAAACTGCAAACTGTTCAAAGGGCTTTAAACGATTCCAGACGATGAATAAGGGTCTTATATCTTATAGACACTTGAGTAAACACTCGTGTGTTTTGTGTCTATCAACCTTTTCCACACACATATAAATAATAACTTGTACTCATCGCTTTGTCCATTTCAGCAAATGAAGTTTTGTGAAGGCCTCTCCTGTTTTGTTTCAACACGCGCGTGCACCCCCTGCTGGTAAAGCCGACTAACAGCAGATGGTACGGTGGCCGAAAGGTGCAAAACAAATGTTGTGTTTTCTGAATTGTTATTTTGTTTTCTGAATTGTCGTTGTGTTTTCTGACTTGTTTTTTTGTTTTCATATTTGTGATTTGTTTTGCACCTCTCGGCCACCGTAAGATGGAGAGTATGCTCGGTAATCTATTGCTTTTCCTGCAGTTCCTGGACGTCACCGTTGAATTTACTGTCGAATTTGAACCACTGACTGAATTTGTGGAAGCGAATTTTCAAGGCGAAATAAAATGGACCGAAAATTGCCTGTTGAACATTATACGTTGTATTTTTAAACAGTTTGAAAATTTTGGAAGTCAAATATGAAAGGTGAATATGCATTATTGAATTTTTAATAATGAAAATGTGTTTGAAATGTTTTTAAATGAAATATTCACAGCTTAAATATTCAACCATATTGAATTTCAGTCCATAAAAATGCAAGCCTTAAAAATACAATGGATTAAAATGCAATCATGGTTAACGCAATGTATTTTTTTTTCAATTGGTGCAATTCAACATGCTTTTTGTTTCAAAGAAATTTGACATTATTTTACTTTCATAGTTACGTCAGGAGTAAATCAGCATATTTTAATGATTTCTGAAAGACCGTGACTGAAGATGATGCTGAAAATCACGAGAAAAAAATACATTTTAATATATATCCAAATAACGTTTTTAAATTGTAATAGTATTTTACAGTATTGCTGTTTTTACTGTATTTATTATCAAATAAAAGCAGCCTTGGCGAGCATCTTCTTTCCAAAAACATAATCATAACAACCCCAAACTTTTGAAAAGTAGTGCACATTTATTACACCTAGAAAATAAAAAACAATTACCACTAGATGCAGCTCACTATATAAAGTCTGATCAAAAGAAGTTTTATTTAGAGTTGATAAACTTTTGTGGACTCTTTCTTTCTGAGGTTTTTTTCTGAAATTACTTTCTTTTCTCTGAAGCCTGCAGTGTTTTAGACTCTTTCCAGAAGTAGATATCATGTTCCACCTAATCAAAATAACTTTTCATAACCAGTTAGTGCAATGCAGTTAGGCTAAACTGTTAGTTTGCTCCCTAAAAACACAAACAACACAATAAAAAAATGACATCATATATGGCTATATACGTCAGAGATCGCACGCCTCTGGAGCAACTAGGGGTTAAAGGGATAGTTCACCCAAAAATGAAAATTAAGTCATTATTTACTCACCCCCATGCTGTACCAACCCCAGAAGACCTTTGTTCATATTCGGAACACAAATGAAGACATTTTTGATTAAATCTGAGAGGTGGATCACTGCTACATCGGCACCCTAAGGGATTGAAACTTGACGGCCCAGAAAGTCATCGAAGAAAATGTTTAAATATTCCATGTGACTACAGTGGTCAACTTTAAGTTTATCAAGCGACGAGAATACTTTTTGTGCAAAAAAACAACAAAAATAATGACTTTATTCGATTATTCCTTTTCTTCCTTCTAGGCCTGAGACGAGAGTTCAAGAGATTTCCACGACGCATGCGCAAGAACTGAACAAGAAATAGTAGAAAAATAACGTAAGTATTCAATGAAACTTAATTTTCATTTTTGGGTGAACTAACCCTTTAAGTGTCTTGCTCAGGGACACATTGGTGTCTCATAGTGGATTCAAACCCGGGTCTCTCACACTAAAGGCATGTGTCTTATCCACTGCGCCAAACAGGGCAACTAGTGAGTGGAATGAGATTTTTTTTTTTCTAGCTTGGGCCATTTGATCTCAACATAAACTCATCTCATTGTGTAAGAAATGGCCCAACTTTGCAGGTAACACAACTTTGCAGGCCCCTTTTGTATTTATCTCCCCTTCAAGATTGAATCTATCAGTCGGTCGCTCTTATCAGAGAGCCAGTATCCAGCCATGGCCGCCACGGCCCCCATAAAGATGGAGGTGAACACCAAGTCCCCTTTAGCCGCCAACGTGGCCAACGCGCACAACACCACCCCGAAGAACATCTGCTGCAGAACCTCCACTTCATCCTCCTGAATGTCATCCAAAAAACCCTTTTCAGCAGAATCTGATAAAAGATACAGACCATGTAAAAAATGCAGTGTCGTTGAAATATATAGAATACAGAATATAGATATCAATGAACCATTTCTTTTTGTTTTTAAGAATATTGTGCATTGATGGATTATGCACTGTAATTGGAAAACATTTACATTTATGTAACTAAAGTTATATTTTATAAATATATTTTCGGTAAGACTTTAACATTGTTGACATCGCAGTCTTTATTAATCCATAATTTATGTTAATTTCGACATTTATTACATTATTAAAATCAAATCACAGCATTTAACATTAGTCAATGCACGGTGAACTAACATGAACAAACAATTAACGACTATTTTTATTAACTAACTCAAACAACGGTTAATAAATGCTGTAAAAACAATATCGCTCGAAGTTAGATCATGTTAACTAATGTATTAACTAATGTTAATGAATGAAACTTTCACTTTTGTTGAACAGCGTGTCGGCTCCCAAGACAATAAAGTTGCGTGTAGTGTAGTACAGGGACAGGCAAGTCAAGAACTCAAACTGAATGAATATGAAATGAATACTTACTCTCATATTATGTAACAAACAAGCACAATACACTCATATTATATAACAAGCACAATACACTGAGTTACATGAAACTGCAAAGGTCTTTTGGGCCAGATCTAATTCAGCGTTTGAAGTTCACAGCAGGCTTTTATAGTTTACTAAATCTAAAACCACAATAAATATTTTGGTTACACTTTATTTTAAGGTGACAGTTGCATTGTACTTACTCAAATAAGTACTCAGTAATATCAATTAACTACATGTACTTACTATAGAGTTACGGTTCATCTAGATTCTAGAGTAGATGTGCTACACTCATTATCGAGTGATCTACCAGCGTGAGTTACGTCACTACACTGCATTCATTAATCCTCTCCTGTGGCCTCATGGGACAGTAAAGTGTCCATCGTATGCGCACTTCAGATTCTCACAGGAAGAAGTAGGTCATCCGGGTTCTTTTTGAGTACTGTGAATCTTTTGTAACATACTGTTTTTCGCCAACTATATATTAGAGAAGTGTGCGATTTGGGATTCAGCTCACCTGAGGCCTGGCTCCTCTCACAGGTGTTGCCGGTGCGTGTGTATCCGCCTGCACACTGACAGTGAAAAGACCCCTCTGTATTCACACAGAAGACATTGACACCAGGACAGGCCAACACCTCCTCAGCACACTCGTCTATATCTGCAGGAGAAACACTCAGCTGTCTTTTCTCAAACGCACACAACCAGATATGATGCCAAATGAAATATTACGAGGAGAAAATATGAACATCTTGACAATTATAAAACAAAGACATTCATATTGTTGCAATATACTAATGATAAAAAAAAATATTTTTTTAAAGTATTAGAAAGGAGTAACGATGGCGAAAGGATGGCTCATTTAAAAAAAATGTACGTTTTATAAGCTCAAATGCTCGCCTTGCTCTGTTCTGTGACGCACCTTCGTGACTCTCTTGTTCGAACTCGTTCATCAAAATTTTTTTCGAGTCATTTGGTTCATTCAACAAACAAAATGAACGAATTGACTCGGAAAAAGATTCGTTCATTTTGATGAACGAGTTCGAACAGGAGAGTCACACAGAACAGAGCAAGGCAAGCATTTGAGCTTATAAAACGTAAAAAAAAAAAATTTAATGAGCGATCGTTTCGATTGATAAAACCCTTATTCATCGTCTGGAATCGTTTAAAGCCCTTTCAACAGTTTGCACTGAAACGGTCTTTTGGACCCCATTGAAGTCCATTATATGGAGAAAAATCCTGGAATGTTTTCATCAAAAACCTTAATTTCTTTTCGACTGAAGAAAGAAAGATCTTGGATGACATGGGGGTGAGTAAATTATCAGCCAAAGTTTTTTTTAAATGTGAACTATTTTAACTTTCTTGCTGGAAACACGTACTGCATTATAGCCACAGGATGGTAGCATTTCATGCAGAAGAACTAATTTGTGTTATTAACTAAAAGATTCATTCTCTGTTCATAGACTTTTCTTGAACAGGAGCAAATGTATTCACATGTATTTATCTGATTAAGACATTTTATTTATTTAATTTTATGAATGTCTTTTTTTGTAAATTTTAATCATTGATTTTCATTGAATCATTATTAATTGTTATATTCCTTATGTTGCATTTTTATTATTTTACATGTTATTCATTCATTTATATATTTTCTACTATATGCTCTAATATGTTTGATTATTTCCGAATGTAAGATCTTTGATGTATCTTCTGTGCTGTAAGATCGAGCGGGTATATTTTCCATCAGAATGTAATATCCGATGTACCTTTGTATCAAAATATCTGTTTCCATCTCTGCAGACAGGAGATAATGCAAGATCTGCAATATTCTCTTGAACAACACTATCTATTTTCACCTCTATTTGACATTTGACCTATAGCGTTACACCAACTTTGACATGATGGATAAATCGGTTTGAGCTTTTCTTATAGACCAAAGCATGAGTTGAGGATTTAAGTTTCCTGCATTTATATTCATTGCTCTTGTTTTGCTCTTCACTTCTGCCTCTCCTTTCATTCTTCAAATATCTTTCTACTTTTGGGTCCTTCTTCCTCAGTACTCGTCTGTTAGATTCAGTACTCTGGATTTAATTTTAAACTATTGAATAAGATAGATGCTATTTCTTGTTTACAAGTACAATTTTCATATTTACTTCATTCATTTGTTGTCGTTATCATTTTTACTAAATACATTTTTCCTTTTTCAATTTTGATCTTTGAAAAAATCATTGCTTGTCTGGATCTCATTGCATCAGAAACTATAATATAATTTAAATGATTTACTCCTGCTATTAATATCTTTACATTGTTCAGCCGAACAAAGCAGATCTACCATGGGACTTTCAACTTTAGAATAGAATTAGAATTTCAGAATCTTAATTAAAAATTCTGTTCTTTTTGTTCTTACATTTACAACAATGTTTGTCCAAATTGTCGTCAAAATTCGGCCGACAAGAATCTCAAATGTCTTTCTCAGAATCTCTTTCTCAGATTCTTTCTCTGGGAAATCTTAATTACTTAAAAAAATTGAACTTTCTTTTCTCTACAGCCTTCAGCGTTTTAGACTCAATCATGAAGTGACTGAGAATATCATGCATTCTCTGGCTGTACAACATTCTGTTCTTCTGTTCAAAGCTTCTGAACAGTCAGAGAATGCATGATATTTACTTCTGGAAGGAGTCTAAAACGCTGCAGGCTTCAGAGAAAAGATTTTTTAGGTAACTTGAGATCAAACCTGAGAAAGATTCGAGTCCTCAAAAGTTTATCAACTCTAAATTCACCATGATATCAAAATGGACAATTCCAATTCAATTCGTTTATGGAATATTGCAGTAAATGGTTCATCCATAATTGTTTTTAATTTACTATTAACCTTTAAGGCTGAATGGGCAGGGGAAATAATGGATTCATTTTATACTCCAGGTTATATTTTATACTTCAAAGACTGATAAACGACACTATAGTTATATGTACAACTCACCTATGCATCTTATCCCTGATGACCTGAAACCAGGAGCACATTTCTTACAGCGGGCAGCTCCTCCACCCATACAGCCAACACAGGCCTTATCACATCCTGGAGAAATCATAAAACAATATAAGCAAAATTAAATGAAAACGGTGTAATCAAGAGTGTTAATCCGTGTGTGTTAATGATAAAATACCTCTGAGAGGAAATCTGACCTTTGCATTCATAAGAGCCATGGGTGTTCAAGCAGTACGTGTTGTCGGGACACCGATCCAGATCAGTACCACATTCATCAATATCTGTCAACGTAAAAGAAGTGAACCTCTGAATGAAATATGGGGCATGAGGTGAATCAAGCGCACACTGCTGATCATCTTACCTACACACAGGTTGTCATGCAGGATGAATCCGCTTTGGCACTGAAGACATTGGTCTTTCTCTGGCCCTCCACATGCCTTGCAGTGCTCTGAGCAGTTCTGACCCAAAATGAGACGAAAAAGGGCCACGACGAGCACAGTAGACAGGAAGAACATCCGTGAGCGGGACATCACTCTCCACGCATCAGTGCAACCCTTCAGACTCACACTTTCTCACACAAAGTAGCCTATAAGCTGATACGGACCCGCTCGAAATAAAACTCCTTATGAAGTCTGAGGATTTTAAAAACAGGAGTTTGTTTGAGGATAAAAAATTCAATTTCATTTACAAAAACTTTTACCAATTTTAAGGTGTGATCTTTTATCCAAAGCAGCTTAATTATATTATTTAAAGTGTTTGAGGTGTAAGAACTGTCTTATCAACTACGATTTTAGACATTAGCTTAACTGTTATTTCAGTTGTTTCTAATAATTTATGTCAAAACATAAAATTCTATTTATATTGGTGCTTGACTTATATTTACTTTTTATACTTTTTGGAGCGTGCGTGAGTAAGTTATATGGAGATTTGGTAACACTTTATTTTATGTTGATGTTAGTTAGGTTACTACTATTAATAGCAGTCTAAGTAAATTATGCATAATTACAAGTAAACCCTAAATCAAATCCTAATCGTAAATAGCAAGTAGGCTAAATGAATGCACTAGCACAATGTAACTACGTCACCTTAAAATAAAGTGTACTATAAATTTTTAATTACTTTAAAACGAAAGCGATAAGCAGAACGCTAAAGTCCAGCATGGAATTCATATTTGAAATACTCACAAACATGCGACATGAGAATATGAGAAGTGGTCGGGATGTCCGTAAAACCAGTTTTTCCAGTTTCCGTTTTTTGGGATCAGGACGGAACAAACTCTCTCTCTCTCACACACTCTCTCTCTCTCTCTTTCGCTCTCTCACCGCAGTTTGATGGATAATTACAAATTCTTGTATATGAATATTGCTATTGCATAGGATATTCCAGCATCGACTGATAAACGCTAATTGCTCATTAAAATATACGGGGTGCCGTGACAATCCTTTGGTGATGAGTTGGCTCATGAATATTTCGTCTTCGCTAAACTAACAACTGTTTCCTATGGGAATCACAAATGGTTGACCAGCGCGGAGAAAAATAACACACACCACATGACTAACATCGGCTAAGCACTGCTTCAGGGTCATTCTGGGGTTTTTTAACCTCTAGGCTACAAAAGAAAAAGTCTCTGGTTTTTAAAACACACAATAAAGATTTAAAATCGAACAATAATTATTGTTTAGATCAATTATACCTGACTTGCGATTCACCAAGTCTTTTTCTCTGTTTCTAAAGAACTTCTCTTCAGTCATGAACGCGCATAACCAGTGCAGCCGGACATCGCGCGCGACACACACTTCTCAAGTAACAGGATGTATTTTTAGCAGTTCTGGTGGTGTACAATATTTGAATGCTGCCTGTTCCCCTTCTTATCTTCTTTTTATAGACTTGCCTGATGGTTAGTCTTGTCTAAGTTGGTGTTTGGCCAGTCAGACCAGCTGAAGCATGGCCCAAACCTTTTTAAAACCAGCAAACAGACTGTGAAACCAGAGAAGTCAGCCCATGACAGAACACTAAAAGCTCCAATAAACTGTATAATTGAGTACAACTAGAGCATTTAAAATGCATGACATTACAAAAGTTCAGTTAACATAAGCCATGTTTAGCCTATGAAATTCATGTAGCCTAATTAAATATATATATTAGCCAAATTCCAGTGAATTATTTACAAACATCATGTTAGAGCTGAGATGGAATGGATCAATAAGAGGTAACATTTTTCCAAATATAAAAATATACAAGTATTCGGCTACATATTCTACAGAATAGCATATGTAGGCATATAGTAATCTCTTTTAATTTTTCAGTGTATTTATCCATTTAATTCTTCATTTATGTCCTGTAGCGTCTGAAATTTCCTCATGTGCACATGGACATGCAGACTTCCTACTTTATCAATCCTCTGAGGTTATATGGTATTGTAGGCCTAAAAAAATACAATTTATTTTTCAATATTATATAGTACTTCATGATGTGATGTGATTAGCATTTCCACACACACAGAGCAACATGACAATACCATGTTTTAACGGACGTGCTATACCTTCTGGTACTTGTATGTAGTCTTTCCATAGTCAAAAGTGACAGACATTTTAAAAACAATGTTTGAGTACATGACCATGACATGTCAGTGCTGTTCATTTTTGAGAAAAACTCTTTCCTCGGTGTCTTCTGTGTCTAGGCTGAGTGAGTCACTTTGAGTGAGCATGGTATCAGTCCTCGCTCTCATCCTATTAGAAATGTTCTGCACTCCTTTGGCAAGCTTCCTCCGTGCCCTTTTTATCCACCACATCTTCTTCAACTTCCCACAGACATTATTTGGGCTCTCCAAACACAGCTCCATGAGTAATCCCTGAGACTGTGAGGGCAGTTTATAGAGCGGCAGGCCCCTGAACAACACTGGCAGCTCCTCTTTAATGAGAAGTTCCTGACACTCCAACTGCACAAGGACGAAACGCTGAGCAGCGCCGCCCTTCTGGCGGTCGGCTAAAATGCAGGCCAGGGCCGAAGCCAGCGTATCTGAGGAGTATGTTGCAGGATCGCTTTGTTTTTCCACTGCAATGTTCCAGTAGCACTCGGCTCTCTGTAGTGCTGATGGACAAAGCAAAAGAAGGGCTTTGCCTCCGTGTTTCTGGATGTGATCGAGCTTGGAGTGGAGCCACGCTGCCGGGCCGAGAGAACCGAGCTCTTTTTGGTTCCAGAGGTCGAGAAATACTCCAAAACCCTGCTCGGAAAGCAACTGGCCCAGCGTACACACCAACTGTGGGTCTATGGCGGAGGAATGGAACAACAACACCTGTCCCTTCATATCTAGAGAGAGAGAGAAAAAGTCAATTAAGTAAATTAAGACCAAATTTTTTTTGGAGAACTTTCATCCGTCCCATTTCCTACGAGACCCTGTGAGAGAGACATACAAGAATGTATAATTGCATCAGACAAAAACATGAAACCATTGAACGAAGCTTAAAAACCAAGGCCAAGATGGATGAAAGAACAGAAAATAAGACATGAAGGAGGAGGAGAGACAGACAAAGAGCATGCTGAGATGGAATAAATGTGTTCGACACAGATCAGAACAAAAATATGTGCCACTGACAGACACATGAATAGAGCCATTGAGAGCAGAGAGACAAGTCTGTCTCTTCAACAGCTCCAAAGTCTGTCCGGTCAACATCTCCAAAACCTCAACAAAAAACACAACTGTCTCTTCAAATCAGTTGTACTCTGGCAAAACAGTAGTTATCTATCATAAAAATGCTACGATATATATAAACGATATATAATAAAGTAACTGAGTTTATATATTGGCTAATGGATTTTTTAACAGCCAATGGGAACATCTAGAAAGCAGGGTGACAAGTCAAGAAAACAGTGACGATCTATTAACATAACAGAAAATTATATATATATATATGTTTTTAATTCATGGTGAATATATGACTATGAAAGCTTGTTTCTGCCACATAATGAAAAATAAAACAGGTACTTGTGACTTTTTATCTCGCAATTCTGACTTTATTTCTCAAAATTGCGAGATATAAAGTCAGAATTGTGTGAAAGTCGCAATTGCGAGATATAAAGTCAGAATTGCATCATATAAAGTAAGAATTGATTGATATTAAGTCGAAATTGCGTGTTGTAAAGTCAGAATTGCGAGATATAAACTATTCTGAGGGGGAAAAAGTTAGTCTTTCTTTCCCCTTAGAATTGGCCTGATAACTCACAATTGCGAATTTATATCTCACAATTCTGAGAATAGATGTCAGAATTTCGACATATAAACTCGCAATTATGTGTTATACAGTCAGAATTGTGAGAAAAAAGTCAGAATTGTGAGATAAAAAGTTGCACATCTGTCTTTTCCTCTCAGAATTGCGACTATATCACGCAATTCTGACTTTATAACACGCAATTGCAACTTTATATCTCGCGATTGCGACTTTATTTCTCATAATTCTGACTTCATATCTTACAATTGTGAGATAAAAAGTCGCAATTATTTAAAAAAACAATTTTTTTTCAGTGGTGGAAACAAGCTTCCATATGTTTCAGATTTGTATAAAAAAAAACAACACAAATACATTTTTTATACACAATTAAATTAAAATACATACAGTATAATAATTGTAATAAAAGTCACTCTATACATTGTGTTGTTTCTTTGTTGCTGAGAGGAAAACGTATTACTATATAAATAGAGATGCTGTAGACTGTAAAGACTTACCTTTCAGTTTTTTCACCAGAAGAACTCCAAAAATAGTCAGACAAACAAGGATCAGCGGTAGAAGAACAAGACTCCAGTACCGTCGTTCCACTAAAACAACAGTACACCGTAAAAACAACTGATAACATCTCATCTGTCATATGTTCAGTACAGCAAATGTTGGTTTTAACACATTGACCACACAGGCATCGCCATGATCAAATGACAATGAATGGAAGCTTTAATTAAACAGGATATACATGTTTTTTCATTCCATAAACTTACAGCGATGTTGACAGTACTGCACAATCTTTCCATCCACTTTAACCTGCAGACAAACACACAAACAATGAACAATGTTTGCCATGTCCATGACCTGTTTGCACTGAAATGAATTGAAACTAAGGAAATTAAAAAGGCAGATGATATGATACCTTCAAACAGAGCTGCAGATGATTCCGAGACGTGATGTTCACAAATTTCCCGGATGCCTGCAGAGCAAATAGCATTATAGCAAACCACTTTTTAACCAGATGGAAAAACAATTATTGGCTTTGACCTCAGTCTGAGAGTAGGTGTGATATTCAATTTCACATAAATGAAAATGAAACCAAACAAGATAGCATCATTCAGCTTCGAAAGTCTGAGATCACTGGAGAAAATGCTTCTATCTTGCCTTCTTTCAGATTTAGATAATAAAAAATTGTTCATTGCTAATTACAACAATAACAAAAAAATAAGTAACACTATTTTATTATTATTGTTATTATAAAAGTTCTCACTAATTGGTGGAATTTTCTCTACAGCATCATGGGTAATGTAGTTTTACACCATGGATTCTGCTGTTCAATTTTATACGAAATAATAATATTGGCTGATAGGTTCAACAGAAGCAAATATCATCAATTAACAACCGTGCAGCTCAGAGCAAAGCTGTCTTTAAAGGTTTTTAAGTTATTATTAAAAATGTACTTCCCAATGGAGAAAATGAATGGAGGTAACCAACTGTTACACTCAGTTGAATCCATTCATGTCAAAGTTGACATATTCCCATATATTTACCCATAGCTTTGTGCTGTTTTCCTCCCAATCCTTCAAGTGGTGCTGTCTGAATCCTTTAATTTCTCTGCATTGTCCATCAGCCTCGAGCTGACACGGCCACAGTTCAGCACTTATCCTGCAGGGTACCGTTAAGTTCCAGCTCATCACCGGCTCATCATCATTTGTCTTGATGTGGGCCACAGACACTGACATCTTTATCAGGACATTGGCTCTAAATTC